ACTGATTATATTTTCTAATTTTTCCCAAGCAGTATGAACATTCTTCACATTTTAAACATTAATTTTGATATGTTTTGTGCTTTGAGTAAATAATTTTTTAAGGTCCATATAAACAGTGATGATTAAGGGAAACATTTTAGGTGGGTTTAGGTTTTTTAAATTGAACTAACTTATTCACTATTTCTGAAACAATGATTTTCATCCATAAACTGCTTATTTGAATACTGAGTATTTTTATTCGGTGTCCGTAGCAAGTGAGGATGTTAGTGAATGTCTTACGACATGAAATAAGGTACAGTATTCATGTTCAACTGTGCTATATTTTGTTTATGAAATGCTGATTTTTCAACATTTTTGAGATTAATCTTACTACTTGTGCTTGTAGTAGTGAATAGTCTCACTGCTAAAAGAATGCAACAAATTTTGTTTTTATTTTGAACTTTCCATCTTCTTAATGAACATCAATTATAATCAATTTATTATATGAACATTTATTATAATCTTATAATGATGAGTCTTCTGCTTCTTGTGTACATGTTTTTGCAATGTTTCACCCAGCTGTGGTCCAAAAGTGACAGGTACTTCACTGGCAGTACAGTTAATGATAGAAATATATCTCAATTAGACTTTTATCTTTGTCTTGTATTTCTATCTAGCTAGATATGACTTATACATATTAATGGAAGATGAAGTGTGGCTGAATTGAGGCTGTTGCCACTGACAGTCTGGAGAAGAAGTGGTTTTTGGTTTTGTATGTTTTAAATGTAATTTTGTTTAAGCATTCCGAACTCACAGGTTTGTATACAGGAAAAATGTCAGTGCTAAGGAAGGCATGATTATTTAAGACTGCTTTATGACTAAAGGTGGTAGAAATCACATAATGTGTTAGAGTAGCTAATAGGAAAGGCAAAATATTTGTAAACTCTTGGGTGAATAAACCTTTTCACATCTAAAAAAGAAGCAGGCAACTTTCTTCCTTAGTGAGTACTAAGTACTCACTAAGAGTAAGTACCCAGTGAGAAAAAGGAAAGTTCTCTGAGTTGGAATGGGTATGTTAAATCAGACTGTCTAATGCAGCAAGTAGTTTATCTCTGCTGTGTAGAAAGAGATTGTTAGTTAGGTAGATGTCAGTAAACATCAGTTAAGTTTTTCCTAATGAAAACAAGTTGGTATTCTATTGCCTATGGAACACGGAGGAGGTCGTGGGAGAGGAGATGGTGTGCCATTAGCAGGTACCTCCACAGAACCTTTTTAATATCTGGTGGAGCTCTGTGTTGGAATCCATAAGCTTGTCTCGTGAGGGATTTTTGTTCTCCGTTGAGAAGCTGACAAGCTCCCTTCAGTGAAAGGCAGACTGGATTCACTCCACGTGTGTTGGTCAGTGAGCAGCAAACCTGTGCCACTGTCCCTGGTGGCACTGAGGACTCCCCCTGTTACTTAAGGCCAGTAGCCAAAGAATTTCTTTGCCTGCCTTTTCCTTGGACTCACAAGTGGATTCATGTTTCTACTAATTTCCTTGACTAGATAAATGTTTCATACATAGCCTTAATTATTTTCTCATGTATATTACAAAATAGTTGAACTCCGAGTTGTGGGAAGCATGCCTGGTGTTTGAGTTCCTGTTCAACTTTGGAAATTAAAAAAAAAAGTGCAAATAGGTGCAAGTGTCACTTTGAGCTTTCACTGAGATGTTAGGGTTAGCCAGTATCAAGACTTGTAATCCAGTAATTGAATTTCAGGGTTTTATAACATTTTTATTGTTTCACATTGTGAATGGTTTTAAATTGCGTCTTATTTAATATGAACAATATGTTGTAGGCCATTACAAATCAACCACAAACCTGTGAAGAATTAATCTGTCTCAGAGTAAGATCCCAAGTGTAATCGTAATTGTTTAATAGTTCCCTTTGCTCTTTGTTAGAAGAGCAGAAAAGAACTTAAGGATAAAGCTGTGAACAAAATTGCTTGAACTAAGGAGTGAAGACTAATAGGTAGTGATACTTTTTTAACTCTAACCATATGTATCCATAAACAAACACAAGTAACTGATTAAATCACTGTGCAGATATCAAAAGTAAATCTATTCAGCTGTTTAAAACTCCTCTAACAATCTGTAAAGTAAATTATGGTTCATACAGATTGTAAAGGTGTGGCATTTGGGGAGTATTTTAAAAAAAGAAGGTGGATATAGAAGAGAAGGGCATACAGGAGCAAACTTATTACAGCTAATGTGATACCATGTTGTGGATGTAAGACAGTGTAAGTCTGAAACATACTGTGTCTTAACTAAGTGGTGGCTGCTAAAAGCACAATGGCTGGTAAGGTCGTTTTGTGCCTGGTTCTCAGTTTGAAAGACACTCAGGGTTCTGCTTTGGTCAGACTGTGTAGCAATCTCTAAAGGACCAGAAAAATAAAAAGTTAAACTTAAGTAGCACAGTTTGAAATAAGCTTGTAATTTTAGTAAAGACAAAATCAACAGATCAGTAGAAAAATATTTACAACTATATAGCAAAAGGAACAAGAGCAGCAACCAATTCCAGCAGGAGAAAATTGCTTCTGCAAAGTTGGTGGGGATTTTGTTTCCTTTCTTTAAATACATTATCTATACCATTCATGCAGCTTTCATTATTGTAGTTTTAAAGTTACATAGGAAACACATGAGTTATGCATACATTCATAGCACGTTTTGTTGAGCCTAGTATAGACGTGATCAAGGCAATTCTGTGTTTTAGTGGTGTGTTTTGTCATATGATTTTATGACTGTAATGACTGACATAAAGGTGTACCACTGCTCAAGTGATAAGTCCTACCTTCCCTCAGTCGCTGGCTCCTTGTTCCCAAGACCTTCAGATGTTCTCTTCTAGCTAAACAGAAGTGAGAGATGGTGTGATCATTTCATCACCACATTAACATAGGTGCCAGAGTAAATAAAGGGTAAAACCCTAAGGGAATACAGCTGAGAGAGCATCCTTTTGAAAACAGCCTGAGTGCACTGGTTTCAAGGAATTGCCTAATAGTGGCCCAACTAGGTTTGTTAATTATTTAGGGAATTGGTGAGGTGGTTTTTTGTTTTGGGGTTTTTTTTTCTCGTAACTTACTAGGAAAATTAAGAAGGTGTAGACCATAAAAATGTCTTAAGAATCCCAGTTCCCCTTCATTTATTGACAGTAAACTGAAGCCTATATAAAACAGTAAACTGTAGCCTATAAAGCCTATGTGGTCAATACCAATATCTTCTAGGAACCGAAGAAAAAGCATAATTGAAGCGATTTCAAATTCGTTAATATGCCAGTCCTGAAAGTGTAGATGCATAGCTCTTCCTGTATCTCTTTTCATATTTCTTTCTAAATATAATTTTCTTGCTGTTAGAAAGTTATGATACTTGTAAACAAAGCAGTTAAAGTAAGTGATATTTAAAACTCATCTGGCAGTCGTAGGTAGCTACTTAGTGTTCTTGGGCAAATCGGAATTATTTAGCTGGCTTAGGTTTTTTGTGTTGCAAGTTAATAAATTGCTGTAGAGTGACTAAAATGCAGTCTTGACAAATGTACTCTTGCACTGTTAATGCACTGGAAAGGTAGTTTCTCTTTCTTACATGCTGATCCATAACATCATCTGCTTTTCACCCTTTTATTGGCATCCTCTTATTTTTTGCAGCCAATATTAGTTTCCAGCACTCTTCAGAGGAACTTCTAACATAGTTCTTGTTCAGTTGCTTGACAGAGATGTGAGTGCCACTCAGGAGCCTGTGATTATGAATCCACATCACCTACTTCCTAAGATTTCAGTTCTGCCATTACTTCCCTTTTCGCCTTCATTTTTGGAAGATGTCTTTGTAAATGTTCACCAGCTAATTGATTATGTTTCTTAAAATGCTTCCTTAACATCATCTTTCTAGAAAGGTGTCATGGTTTAGGAATGGTATTATTCTGCAGTGGAGTTTTCCCACTGAAACCATTGCATGCCACACACAGCTCTCTGGCTGACTCCCCCCGTCCCTCCCTCTTCCCTGCAGCAGGATGGAGAGGAGAACTAGAGGCACGAAAGGTAAAGATCACAGGTTGAGATAAGAACAAGTTACTGGAAATAGCAATGAGAGATGAAAAATCAACAGTAACAGCAATGATATAAATGACAAGAAAAGAATGAAGCTAATGGCAAGACAAGAAAAGGAACGTTCTTGCTCACTGAAGAAACCCCAATAACAGATGATAACCAACCACTCCCTCCAGCTCAGAGCTGGCATTACCCAACCACTCCCTCTGCCACACTTACTTGACCAGAAAAAAAAACCTTCTTCCCAGAAAAGACTCTCTTCTCCCTGCTCTGGTAGTGACAGATATGGTGTAGAATAACCTCTGGGCCCTGGCCATGCCAGTTCCTGGCTACTGCAAAACCCTGTTCTGGCCAGAACGAAGACAAAAGTTAATATAAATCTTGATAAAACCAAATTCAGCTATCATGCCAGTCAGTATTAATCCATTCTCTTTTTCTGTGTCTGTCGCTGTTATGTTATACTTCACCTATGAGTCCTGAAAAAGAGGTGGTTAAAAGGAAGATTTTCTCGAATTAGAGGTCTTGGGTCCAGAAGAGTAATGATGATGGTCCTGCCTCAGCTTTGCTTTGTCATCTTCATCATGCACAAGAACCAACATCAGTTCTCCTTGGAATCAGACTAAAAGATGAGTAGGAAGAACTATAAAAAAGAAGGAAAGAGGCTCTTGCCCTGTTATACAGTTTGTCAAAACCATGCTTGGACTTTTACTTGCAGTGTGATATTTGTAGGAACTATAACAACTCTTTTGGACTGCAAGTAATACAACATTACAATGTTTAAGTGGAAACACTATTGTTCTGCTAATTAGACTGCTAATGGTGATGATATGCCTGGAAAATGAGGGGAGGTTTAGAGTTAGGGTTAGGGTATTTTTGTTCTTGTGTGATTGAAAAATAGCTAAAGGAATACTGTTTGTTTCTCTGTTTTTTTTTTTTCCCAACAGATAAATACTCATCAGTTGGAATTTACTACTGCCAATATGTATCATTCTGTGACTGAAACCAGTCACCCTTTGCAAACAGAGGAACAAGAGATAGGCATTGATCCCTTGCAGAGTTTTTTGAACAAGCCAGGGGAAGGTAAGTTTGTATTTCTGTATTTTTTTTTTAATTTATACCTTATATAAGTGTGTCATGATAGCTGTACCTGTCATAATTTGTTTAATTCACTCAATGAAGTTGAACAGGGCAACTTAAAGAACATTTCACAGAGTATGTGAAGAACACTCTGACACTAATGAAAACCACAAAAAGTCAACTTTCAATTATAGACAGAAGCATTAGCCAAATGTTTAATGCGCTGTCATCCTTTTTTAATCATAAACACTGACTTCAGCATAAGAATATTGAAATGGAGCATGACTTTATGTTACTTCCTCAAGCATGGACTCTTACACTGTTTTGGGTTTAGGGATCTTTTTTGTTTGTTTGTTTTCCTTTCTTTTTTCTTTTTTTTCTTTTTTTTTTTTTTTTTGATTCTGCAGTAAAGTTCAGTATGTTATTTTGGATGAAATTATGCAAATAAAAAGTCTGATTTTTGTTTTACTCAGCACTTATGTTCTTATTTGAAAAGATATCTTGAAGTTGAGATAGAATGAATAGGATCTAAAGATAGAAATTACTAACCTGAAGCAAATTAGTTCAATGCAGTATCCGGAAGACCCTAATGAACAATAAGAACAAACTGCTTGGATAATGCAATGCCTGTCTGTTTTGCTCATCTTTTCTACTTATTTGCTAGTAGTGACAGTGTAGTTGGTTAGAAGAAAGTGATAAGCTTAATGAGAAAGCTCGTCCTTGTCATGAAAACATTCCTCAAGTACTCAGTTATACACAGTGGCACCTTAACTACCTGTAATTTTCCAGTCATTGAACACATCTACCAGGAGGGCAAAATGAAAAATTTATTTTAAATTACAGAGTTGAAACAACTTTGTCACATTTTCTAAGTCCCTCACCCAGATCAACTAGTCTATGTGAGTGTATCTGTTTATAAATCCTCTGTTTACTAGTTTACTTTATTAAAAAGCTGTGTCAAGTTTTGCTCGGTCAGGTTTATTACTTCAGTTTAGAAGAAGCTGATGTTTTGCTTCAAAATATATTGGTAAAACTTCATTGCCCCTTTGAGTTAATTTTTTCACTGTTTCTTCATTGGTTTATAAAGCTTCTTTAATGTTTGAAAATTACAATGTACGTCATGGGAAAGTATTTTAAAACCTGACGATTAAATGGAAGAGCTTTTCTAGGTCAGTGTTTCTTTCCTATTATATTTGACATCTTAACAATATGAAGCCATTTTAGCCTGATAAACCAAATGCATTTTTGTACGTATTTTTAGAAACTTGAAAATAATTTTTTTTTCCAAAAACCTAAAATAATAACCATTTTCAAGGGGAAAAACAGCTTGCTTCTAGTCTACCCCAGTCAAGAAAAAGATAATAATTTTCTTCTGATTTCTATTTTCTTTTTTGAAAATTGGTAATTCTTTCGACTGTTTCAAGGAAAAGCAAAATTTTCACCCTGTTAAAAAAACACTGTAAGTTAATTTTACCCTTTATTGTGCCCAGAAGCAATTAGTTACCTTGACTGAAAAGGTTTCTCATTTTTATCCCAACCTTAACATTTCTATGACATACAAAGTTATTAGGATTGAATTGATGTTTAAAAGTGCCATTAATTCATTTACCCCAAATGTTCATTAACAATGTAAATGTATGCTGATGTTCTATGAGACAAGGAAGTGACTAATGACTCTTCGCACTAACAACACTTAAAATGAATAGAAACTTTAGATAGCTAATCTTGAAGTAATCAAGACCCTCATTCAGCTTGGCATCTCTGTATGCTCTAAAACAGCTGTCAACTGTTAAAAATATATACACAACACACACATACGCACATGCGAGGATAAAGATATGTAAATACATGGTTCCCCAAGTCATAAAGGTTACCAACTATGGTACATTTTTTATGTTCTATCTATGTAAATATTTTATATAAAGCATCCATTTCATCTTCATAGCATTTTTTGCTGTGAAACACATAGTGCATTTTAATTTGAAACTTTATATATCCAGCATAGGTCTTAGAAGTTTTAATGTTTCATTTTAAATTAAGCCTCTATTTGGTTGGTGTTAGCTCTTTTGGCATCAAAGCATACAGTCATTCCTGTCCATGCAGTCTGTCCATCATTGTCTTCACAAAAGTATTTCAAGACAAGGCTTTTCAATGCAGCCTCAAGTTTCGGGGTGATACAGAATCAACTCGGTGAAAAACCATATCTTAATTTTTTTGTATCACGAAATCAGAGAAATATGGTGGAGTGGTGGTCCATTGGAGACGTTCTGTGCAATATTGTAGAATATCAGGACATCTGAATCATGGTTTTGAAGCATAGCTGAATGCTTACCTTGGAGGCAAAGTGATAAAAGCCTTCACTGAGATGAGGTGATTAGAAAAAAAAACACAGCACTGATAAGGGTGCTGAAAATAAATAGTTAGTCACTGATCTAGTCAGATTTGTTAGTCTACATGAAGTATAGTATTTTTAGCATGTGCAGTTGATACCAAAACTTGATGGAGGACCAGAAGATGTCATGTCCAGCTGGAGTTACAAAATTCTCTCACAGTTTTCATAAAATTAAAGAAATCTCAAAAATACACGGATTGCTCTTAAGTATAGCTGTTTGGAAAACTGCATGCATCGACTACTTTTTGTTCATTTGCTGTCAGCTTGAAAGGGTATATTGGATAGGATTCCAGAAATATGTTGAGTCTAGTAATACTCAGTGCTTTTAGTAAAATTTCAGTGAAGGAATAGAGAGAAAGTATGGTTTATTTGAGACAGAGCTGTTGACACAGTGGAGAGTAGATGTAAAATTCAAAGTATTCTTGAGATTTTGGAGAAGTGGCCTGAGAAGAAGAATAAGAATGGTTCTCCAGGAACAGCTGCAAGGATTAATGTTGCAGATACTAGGCATGAGACAGTTACCTAGCTGAACAAATGAAAGTAGATCATTACACATGAGGTAAGTGTCATTTGAAGAAAGGTCTGGGTGTTGGTAGCTCTCCAGATTTTATGTAACTGATAAACTTTGAATCTTGAGTTATGATGAGCCATGAGAATGGGCCTGTTTGCAAGTTTAAAAAATTCAGAATAAGCCTTTAACTATAAAGATCTTTTTTTCTATCCCTTTAAAACATTTTAAAAATCTATTAAGATAGTATTTTTGTCCTTTTCTGTTGATTAATTTGGCCTATGTTATTTTCCTTATGTCTGATTTTTCTTTCAAGATAAAAAATGTACATGCCATATATGCTTTTTAAAATAGCATTTTTAAATAGTTGAGAAGATATTTATGGCAGGGATTCTCACTTTTGTAATCTAATACTTCAAACTGAAAATTTTAGGTCTTTTAAGAAATTTTAAATTTTGATTGTTTCTTGTGGATATGGTTGTATTTTAATTTACGTGTGTCTAGGTATGTGTGCATTATGTTTTCTTTTGACTGTGGTAGATTGATGACATCTTGATGCATTCTCTCTTCTAAGAATTGTCATGCTATTATTCACTTTATTCTAACAATATTTTTGAGTGATCCCCTCTGAAACAGGGATCTTTCAAAGAGAAATCGGTGAATCTTAGCTCTGTTTCCAGCAGAGACTTTGTAGACCTGAATAAAAATTCAGAAACATTATTGTTGTACCTTCTCCCTGCATATTGCATCTGACAAACTGTTTTTCTGACTTCGAAATGCTCGAGGTTTCTGTTACATTGAAATGGGATAACTAGGTTAACTTCCTGCCGTACATTTTTACTCAAGTTACAGTGTCCACCACATTCCGACACAAGTTTTGAAAAGCATAGTAGGTAGTATTCCCATTTCACTGATATAATGAGAAAGTTGATCCTCTAAGGACAGACTGGAACAATGCATTTAATACTCTTCAATTTAATTTGCTCAATATCACAATTAATACAATTAAGGTCACTTGAAATGAAACTATTAACAAATTGGGTAATTTACTTTAACAATGTCAGTGTGTTCTCACAATTACATTTGCTTTAATTAGTGTACAAGCTATTATTTAATAGCATACTTCACATAGAAAAATGTAATGTGTTCTTTGTTCTTAATAGAAGAAAAGGGGAAACCTTTAATGGGTCAGAGTGTTTTGGATTTGGAGTTTGACAGGATATATTTCATGTGTAAGGGCTATAGTTGGTGGTGAGGACAGAGCAGGCTGATGTTGCTGGAAGGACAAAGGTGACTACTGGAGTGTGTGAATGAAATTAATCCAGTTTAGACAGATAAGTTCCCTACCTCATGCTTACTATTGCATCCCTCCTGATTGTCAAGCCTGCCTTGAAAAAATACGAGGGATGTTATGAGAGCATTAATATTTCCATTTTGACCATATACTGTATGTGTGTGTTTCCATTGCTTGTCTTTGGACAATTATGCTATTCTGGTGTTAACCTCATAGCCCTGATCACTAGAAAGTATTTCTATGGAGAACTTTACCTTATGTGAAATTTGAGATACTTGATTTATATTAGTATCATACAGAAAACAAATAGAAAACAGAGGGGAATAAAGTAATAAAGTAAATGCCATCTTTTATGGACAAAGCAGGAACCATGTGTTATCAAATAATTTCCCCAAATCTTAAGTGTAATTCACAAGGACTGTTTTGGCCCTTGAAATTCCTTACAGGATTAAGTGAAATTTTGCTGTCAGAAAATTATATTATCTTCTAATTCATCCTTAGCTACTCAGTGTTATAAGTTGGGGTTTTTTTCCCCTTACAACTCCTTTCACTCAGTGCTAATGTGGATTGCCTTGTACAGCGTTTATTTGCCTCCATTTTTAGAGATCATTTCATTTAAAGGAAAAAACCACAGAGGTCTACACCTGTCTGTGTGAGTAGTACTTTCCTTGGTAAAAGCAATTGAGAATGCAAGTACAGTGAGTTGTTGGAGACTTACTATTTTTTTATCAAATATTTTTTTATGTATTTTATGACGTCATGTGTGTCGTATTATGTGTGTTATTTCATCTTCTCTCCAGGGAGCAACA